GAGAGGATCAGACGGTTCTTCGTCGTCCACAATTTCGATGACACACACAGTCAGATCCCTCCTCCCCCCCGACCTCTCCCCTCCCCACCCACCACCTGATCCGATTCCACACACGCAGAGAGAGGTAACAACACACATAGACACGCTCACTCACTCACACATACACGCGAAAAGACACACGTACACATAGAGGCGCGAGTGAAATGAACGTTATTACCCCAAGCCCCGTCTCCCCGCACCGTAAGGATAATGAAAACGAAGAAAAGAGCAAGAAGAACCGAGAGTGAGAGAGAGAGAGAGAGAGAGAAAAAGTGAAACAAGACGAAGCCGAGGGTAAACACGATCTACAGTTTAATTAATATAATATATTGTGTATAAATAGTTAATTGAGCCGCCGCGGCGAGCGTGAGAAGAAGGGAGTAGAGGAGGGCCAGGGAATCTAAGATTGGCAGAGCTCCACGAGGGGTGTTGGTTCACGAACGCCGCAAACTCTCTCGCTCCGTCTTTCCGCCTTGCTATTCTCCTTTCCCTGTCGTTCCTTTCCCTATTGCCGAGCCGTGTGGAGGTGAGACGGCTCGGTAACAAACGGGTGAAACTGTGGACCAGCGAGAACGGCGGAGGGTGAATCGGGAAATTCGAGAGACCACGAGGAGGATCGGTAGGAATGATTTACTTTCTTCTTTCCCTTTCTGCTGTCCGATTTGCATTTTCTTTTTTCTTCGTTTCTGTTCGACGAAAATTTGTGTCGCTTTTAATTAGTTACGGTAATTTGTTTCGCGTATTTTCTTTGTACGTTCTCATTCGATATAAAGTAGTTACCAGAAGTTTGCGTTTACTGTGTTTTTTTTTCAAACAGGGTGATTCAGGTGATTTTTAATTCACTTTTGATCGAATTGGCCCTTCTGGTTCGTCGTTACGAGAAGAGAGACCATCGGTTTGGTGTTTGTATCGAAAGGTTTCCAAGGGGATCGTCCGTAATGTAACTCTGAAATTGTTGAAAGTCGTAATCGAAAGACCGCCGCATTGTGCCTGGAGCAAAGATCGCGATCGAAAGAAATTGCCGAGCAATTGCGAGGCGATGCAGGATCGACTGCATTTCCAGTCGAAATTTCCCCGATTCCCGTGGAAACAAGCTTCGAAACGAGATGAAATTTCGTCTGGTGTTCGAAAGGATCTCGCTGCGAAACTGTCGATCGGCGTTCACGATCGAAGTTCCGTCGAGTCCGCGGAACGGTGCAGCTCGTGAATGTAATCGCCGTGTACATTCGCCGGAACGAGCCTTGAAAATGTCTGCCTTGGAAGTGATCGTCGAATGAAATTGCGATTCTGCGAAGGGCCATTTCGAACTCGACACTTTTCCCGTCCTTTTCTTCCCGTAAAACATGATTTAAGATACGTGGATGTTTTGGAAATTCATTTCGCCAACGACATTTTTCTTTTTTTTTGTAAATAATTTACGTGATTCTATCGTTACCGATAATATCTTTCGTTAAAGAAAAGAAGAAAACACAATTGAGCAAATCACGTTTATCAACCAAGGAGAGAATGAAACAGAGAAGGAGGACAAACAAATAGAGAGCAAAAGTCGAATATTTAATTAAATTAAACGTCGATTGCACGTCGATATAGTAACACGAGAGCCACGTTGATCTGGTTTCCGGGAAATTTGAAGTCACGCGACCCGATCACCTCTCTACGATCAAATCGATCATAGTGCCGATCGACGATCAGGGAACAGGGGAAACGGAAGGAGAAAGAGAGACTGTGAGAGAGGCTGCGAGAAAGTTGAACGCGAGCGAACGAATGAGAAAGAAACGCAGAGCATACGAGACAAATTTTATCAATATTTTCAATACGCCCGCATACACGCAAATCTTGTATAAAAATTTTAATGTAAACACACTGCTCTTGCCGTGGACCGTGGGCGAAACGTTGAATGATCGACGGCGTCATTTTGGGTATCGTTTCAAATTCTTTACGTCTCAAAGTGTGCTACCGTCTCTTAAGATTCTTCGAAAATGAAAATTTCCAAAAAAAAAAAAAACCACTCCAAATGACGCTCGATTTTTCTAAGCCACGGTGCAGCGGCGTATTAGTATACTGAAAGAAAAAAAAAAAATGATAACCCACGTATACCGAAAGACTCAGGTGCGAGAGAAGTCAGTTTATAGGTCCTGGTAAAAAATTGGAGAAATTTCCGACACTCGTCGAGATCGATCTCTCAGTCCGATCGACGAACAAGCACGCGTGCGTAGCTCCTCTTCACCAGCGCGGCAATCGATCGTGCGATCCTTCAGAAAATTCAGAATCAACCTCTTGAAACTAGAAAAAAAAAATTGGAAAGATAATAAAGAAACGGTAGAACGGTTTCTCGATTGAAATTTCTTGACGACCTGGTTACCTGGATACACGGTATACGAGAAAAAAAAAAAAATAAAATAAAATAAAAAGTAACGCGAAATAGTAGAATTCTCGCGCGCGTTCGAAATCGTCCCCAAACGGCAACAACGACTACGACGACGACGACGACGTCGCGTTTTTTAACGTTTTAACGCGATCGAAGTTCGCCGAAGCGTTTTTAGTGGAAGCTTTTTACGACACGGGGACCTTTTTACCGCTTGCAGAACCATCGTTCCGGGACGCAGAGTGGTTTTTTAATCGAGGGGACATGTTCTCGTCGACGTCACACAGGGACGATCTCGCGACGCTCATGGGAACAATCGTAATAATTCATAATCGATTATCAAAGTACGAGACAATCATGGAGACGAACGCGGGTGATCGACGAGGATACGCTCGATCGGCGACGTTCTGTTCGACGGGGCGACGCGTTTTTACGAATTCTATTTGTTGAACGATATATTGTTTAATTTTGTTGAGGTCCGCCCCGTTCACCGTCGACGACCGTACGTCTCTCCGTCGTCGCGCATACGAGAAATTTCAACGAGAACCTCTTCACCTAACGTTTCGCGTAACAATTGGCTACGAGAAAGAATTGCAAGTAGGAGTAAGAAAGTGAACGCCGAACCGTCACATCAGTCTGTGATCGATTATTCGAGCGGCTATCTCGAAGGAATCTCGACTTATCAACGACGCGAGTACAGATACGACGATTAAATTATTTTTTCATGGCGAAGATCGACGGTTCGGCGGTGGGAACGCCGCGGAACGCTGTACCAGGGCTGTTTTCCTGTTTATTGCAGGGTATACGAATGTGCGCGACGTCGTCCGTAGTGGACGAAACGGTATAATACGAACGCGGTTCCGTCTTTTTACCCCGCTCGCTCTGACACACCAGCCCCTGGCCTCGGAGGTCGGAGAACGCGATCAATATTTTCGTGGAAATGCCCGGCGACGCGTTACGCGGCGAAGAAAAGAGAGGGACGGGTGGAAAAAGCGAAAGAAAGGAAGAAAGAAAGACAGGCGGGATGGATAGGAAAGGAAAAAGGAAAAAGAGCTGGATCGCACGAACGATTAACGAGAAGAGAGCCCTATACACCGAGGGTGCGTTGTGTGACCTGTGTATAGGCGAGAGAGAGTGAGAGAGAGAAAAGAGCAAGAAAAATAATAATGTTCCGGCGGTTGCGGAAGGGATGTGAAGACGGCGGCGAACGGACGACGTTTATTGGCTGTTCGTTTTCTAAATGAGTTCACCCGATTGAATGAATCATCGCCTTAAAAATGTATACGAAGTAACAGTAAGGTATCTAAGTAATAATCATGTTAGAGGGTAAAGAAACTTAAAACAAAGATTTTATGAGCGGCGACAAGAGCGGCTATAGGGCAACGAGAGAACGAGTGAGTGTGTGAGAGAGAGAGAATGAGATGGGAATGAAATGTGTTATGAGAAAAAGGGGTGAGTGTGTACGCGCGAAAGGAAACACGAGAGAGAGAGGGAATGAGTGATTGAAGTGTGAAGTGTATGATCATGTAAGAAATGTAGAAAGAGAGAGAAAGTGTGAATTGGCGTGTGAGTGTGAATAAGAAAAGGGTGGGAAAGTAATGTATAATTATCGTGTAATTACGGAAGAACGATGATGTTAGCAACCACGTCGCCGGCGTTGGCGGCGATGATCATAATGATGACGACGATAACGAGGGTCGGACGCTTGCCGGCCGCCTGAAGATCGCGACCACCGTCATTATGATCATCAAGCGGTAAAACGATTACGATAACGCTGATGATGATGCTGATAACCATGATGATGATGATGATGATGATACTGATGATGATGATATATGATGATGATAATGATTATGATTATGCTGATGGTGACGATGATGTGTATAGTAAGCTAAAAATTTATTATATCGGTATGGAATCAGATTTTTTCAACTGTTTGCGTATTGACGACCTATTGACACCCTTAAGTAAAAAAAAAAAAAAAGAAAAAACAAGAGGAACGGCAAATAAATTGAAAAAAAAAAAACGAATCGAATCGAACTGTGTTCTGTTGTGATAGCGCGTTCCAACGCGGAAACGACGACGCGCGTGTGTGGTCACGGGAATGGGCAAGAGGTTCCGATCCTTCGACCTGTGTCGAGAACACCGCGAGGATCTACGTGGATTCTCGCCGTGAAAGAGAATAAAAAGAAAAGGAAAACGCGAAACAGAGCAAAACACAGTGA